AAAAAAAAAAAAAAAAAAAGATATTAGTACGTTACACACCATATGTACAATACTACAAAAGTATAGCTACCGTTTTCACCCGAATAGAACGCCTGGTCATTATAGCTGTATTTGGCACAACTTTCGGTCCAGATGCAGCAATAACGACCAGTAGCCTCTTGACCAACTTGACTGGGGAATGAAGCAAGAAGTGTGTGCAAGCCTTCAAGCCATTGAAGACTGCTTGAAGCTCGCTTTTCATTTTTTATTTCCTTTTTTCTTACTTTTTCCAGGGTAGTTTTGGCACCTACCGTGGATGCCTACCGTAGCCGGTAGGCGCGCCTACCAGTCGGGCCGACCCGTCGGCGGTCTGCGGACTGCCTTGCAATTTTTTATATTTTTTTTTTCTGATAACATGGTCGTGCGCGGCTTGAGGAGAGCAGCCCAAATCCACAATAAAGTTTTTTGGGGGGTTTGAGGGTGAGGTATAGGGGTTTATACGGGGGTTGTAGGGGGTATGAGCGTGTTAGGGGGCGGTATGGGGGTGTATGGGGGTGTTGGGGTGGGCTATGGGGGTGTTGGGGTGGGCTATGGGGGTGTTGATGGGGTTATTTGGGGTTCTGGACCCTCTTTCTCAGAAACACGGACCGATTACAACTACCCTGTTCTGAAGATTCTTGATCCTGACAAGCCTTTCATCTGGACTACTAAGTACTAACGCAAGTATGGGATGGTCGCAGTGTTGCGACAACAAGAGGGCAACAAATTAAGATCAGTCAAGTACATCTCGAAGAAGATGTCCTCTCACACCTACCTATGAGAGGGAGTTGTATGCATCCTATATCTCTCTGAAAAACTGGAAACGCACTGATGCCATGGTAGACACCTCGACGTGAAGTGTTGCCACGAGACATTATTCCAGTGGATTAAGACATGCTTAGTCCTTTCTGAGACACAACATGTATCTCTATTCCAGATCGGCGATCTGGCTTGCGCCAAAGCGTCACAATTCCGTCCACAGGAGAACATCTCCACTAGGAAACTACAGGTACTGTACTGTGGGCCTTGGATAATAGTAGTAAATTATAAGTTGGAAAAAATGATCCTGGCCTCCCTACCTGCATCATTTTTGTACCTTCCCCACCTCCGTACTCACCCAGTCTTTCATGCCTCCATCCTGGCGTCCCTACCTACATCATTTACGCCCCCCCCCCTCCGCACTCACCAAGACTCTCATGCCTCCGAACTCTTATCTTCCTTGACTGATGAATGAATACCGATCAGCTTCCCTTGCGCAGATCAATGCCACCACCCTCTGTGGAAGGGTTGATGTCGATTCCGTTGTCCGGCATCGGTACATGTCCGTGCCTGATCCAACAGGAAGAGGACTTCCACCAAAGCTCAAGTTCCACTACAGGGTATGGTCCCACGCACCAAATGGATCCTCCAAGTGAGGACCGGCAGTTCACAAGAAAGGAGCTGACGCAGACTGAACCCCAGGCTGTGACAGGGTTATGAGAGGGCTCTCAAAGGAAAACAGTGGCAGGAATAAACAGTGTCTCACGGGTCTCTGAATCCAAGGGGTAGGCGTGTGAGGCCCCGTGAACCTCGTCTCAGCAGACAGCAGAGGGCAGTAGACCCTGAGGTTGGGCCGGAAGGACCACGGGAACCGTCAGGCCCAGACAGGGACCAGGTAGAGCTGCCCTAGGTCCACTTGGGTATGGCTAACACCAGAAGACTGGAAGCCGGCGCCTACCAGTCTAATAGGACCCGGCTAGGATATATACAGGTCGAAGACATTCGGACGCAGGATGCCGTCAGGCTGCAAGAGCGATAGGTCAGCACCACGCTGCAGGGGAGGGCGGAACCTCGCATCCAGCCAGCCCCAGCCATAGCTGGGCTGAGGAAGACGACCACCACCATTGCTGTAAGGCACTGAGGGGTGTAGAAGGAAGGTGGAGCTAGAAGGGGAGATGGGAGAAGGGGAAAGCCATAGGGAGAAGAAGTTGAGTGAAGAAGGACCTACCTGGTTGATGATGCTGAGAGGAGCTCCAGCACGACATGTTCTTGAAGCAGATATCAGTCGGTCCAGCAAAAAACCCTGCAGCAGTGTGCTGTGGTCTAGTATAGGCTAGGGTAGTGAACCGAGTGGTTCCCCCCCCCCCCTCCCCCCTGAACATAACGCATATGCCTTGTATTTGAGTTTTTCAAAACTTCGAATAGAACGCACATATGCGTTGTATCCTAAAATTAGGGTTATTCAAACAGAACGCACGTGCAGTGTATTCGACGTGAAAGCAACCTATGCGTCGGGTTCTTTTACAAACCATATGCGTTATGTTTGGGGGAAGACGGTAGCCGGCAACCCATATGCTTGCTGGCCAACAGAGTTCCTACTGCTTGTGATTTGAGTTTTTTTCTACGCCGTTTCATACAAATAAAAAAGAGGGAAAAAGGAAAGAAAACACAAGGACCGGCCAGAGTGAAGAAGAGCGAGTAGTGGTCGATCTAGGGGGCACAATCGCGGAGGGAGCGCATATGCTTGCCACCGTCATCTTCGTCTTCTTCTTCTTCTTCTTCTTCTTCTTCTTCCCTCCTGCTGCTGCTTCCCGTCATCATCCACATCCAGCTGACTGAATTTCAAATTTCAGAGAGCAGTACCCATCTTCATCGATTTCATCGCCGTATGTTATTCGGAACACGGAGGCTTTTCGTTGAGACTGCCCTGCAGATCTAGTGCCGGGCCGGGCCACCACTCTGGGCCTCTGACACTCGTTTCTGTAGCCTGAGTTTAGCGTTCGACGAAGCACGGTCCCCTGCACCTTTGCTGTTTAAACCGCCACCAGTACCTTTCCCATACGTCGGCCATGGGCATTGCAAGCCGGCCCGAAAATCAAGACTGGCCGCCGATTCGATTTATCAGCGGCCGCCCTTCCGTTTCAGGCCAGCGCGTTACCCGGCGTGCCTCTGAAAAAAATAGCTGGGAAAGGTATATGTGCATGAATGCTCAGTGAACATGGGCCTCGCTCCACAACTCTCGTTTTAATTGAGTTTTTTGATTTTATGGCAAGCCTATCTTTGGTTCTTTTAAAAAGAAGAAAGAACGACTGGCGCCTACGATCACCTGTCTCAAATGGAACAGATTCTCAAACTACAGCTAACGCTCCTTTGTATAATTTGTTTGGTTGTTCTCTGTGGTACCGCAGCACCTGTGCTTTTTCATCTATTAGCTGAAAGAGAAGTATATGCACAAAAGACAAAAATCATGGCGGTGTATCTTTCCATGTTCTAGCGGAAGATTCACTCTCGTTCTGCACATTTCAAGGAGTAGTGGAGCGAGGCCCCAAATAATGGCTATCCTATGGATCCATGGAAGACGCAGTTGCAAATTTTCGCAACTTTGGATCGTTCTGCAGATACTGAACTGAAGGCTATTCTTTATTTATTTTCCCCCCTCAAAAATGAAAAAAACAAAACGGGGTTATGATCAGGGTAACAGGGTTTGATAAATCCATACCTTAAGAACTGCAGGTAGAGGAAATGAGGCGTTGGGGGACTTTATGAACTGATCGTAGTAATGTAGTACATCAGCCTGCAATAAGAAGGAACGGGAACAACAAGACGCAGACAGAACTGAAAAATACTGGCAAAATCAGAACTCTCTCTCTCTCTCTCTCTCTCTCTCTCTCTCTCTCTCTCTCTCTCTCTCTCTCTCTCT